CACATCTTCTTTTTCACCTTAGATCAAAATTATTTCTTCCATAAACACATCCTAGGTCCCTTCAACTTAAGGTGAACACTTCCTCCTCTGTGACCTCTTGTCACATGATTTCTGTGTCCCACTTAAGGTGCAAATCGTTTTCTCCCTTAAATTATATATTTTTTAAATATGTCTAATTCTCTACACTTGACCAGTTGGGGACCAAGTTGGATTCATTTCTAATTCCTCACAGCCTCTGCAAACTGGAGAAGGAATAGGAAGAGAATCAGTAGGTACAGATGGCAATTTAGGACGGGATGGAGATAAATGGAGAGGCAGAAAGAAGGATCTTTGTGTAGAACAAAGAGCATTAACATTGGCCAGGAGTCAGGACTCCCAGGTTCACTTGTGTCTGAACATCTTCATCTGTCAGATGGGATCATAATTCCAGTTGGGCCACCCTTACCAGGTTGCACTGAGGATCAAGAAAGAGAATACAGCAGGATACTAAAGCATGCTATACAAATAAAAGGAATGCTAAGGTTTTGATGTGTAACAACTCTTAAACATTAACATTTTATGGATTAGCAAACCAAGATCTAGAGAAGTGAAATGACTTGAGGTCATAGTTAGTGGAAAACTCTGAAAACAGCTGAGGATAGTCATGCTAAGATCAGAAGGAACATATTTCTGCCTACGCGGGGATTTGAAGATCCAAGTTCTCTACCTCCTGGGTTTGTGTTATTTTTGTTCATGAACGATCAACTTGACATCGGGGTCAGGAAGTTAATCTGTAGAGAGGTGAATCTCAGAAGAGGAAAACAGAGAGTTCATGATATAAGAAATACACCTGGCCACTAAAATTGTAGGGAAAAATTTAAGCATCTGTAATAAATAAGGAAATAAAAAGTAGTCCTCAAGATGCCATCTTCACTTACAAATTTGGCAAAGAAATTTTAAAAATAAGATTATTTCACTGTTGGCAAGTGTACTGGAGAACTGGCACTCTTACACATTGCTGGTGGTAGTATAAAGTGATCTAACTTTTTTTTTCTAGAGCAATTTAGAAGTATGCATCACAGCCTGAAATCAGTTCATACCCTTCAATCCAGGAATTCTCCCTTCTAGGAAATTGTATCAAGTAAAGAATTACAAATATGCACATGGCTGTTCATTGCAGTGTGACCTATGTCTAATTGTTATGATGTACCCATTCAATGGAATAGTATACAACAATGATTACAGCTAACATTTATTAAGCAGTATACTATTTCCAGACACTATGCTAAGTTATTTAGATACATGACTAATTTTAATCACTAGAACAATTCTATGAGGGAAGTATTGCTGTCATTCCCATTTTGCAGATGAAGACACTGAAGTTCAGACAGGTTAAATTGTCCCAGGCCACACTGCTAATGGGTTGACTAGTATGAATTTGACTCTAGGTCTGCCTGATACCAAAGCCCAAGGCCTCAACCATAGCACTCTATCACCTTTGCTACCATTAGAAAATCATGTTTTAGAGGAATAGTTAGTGAAATTCTAGAATTTATGTGATATAAGTGGTATATGAAAAAAGCTTGATACAAAATTATATGTATACATGAGTATATATCATGATGACAATTTTATTTTTAAAGTGTACGTACACATTTTTCATAGAAAAAGTATGTAAGTTTTCATACCTGCTAGTAACAGTTATATCTTAGTAAAGTATTATAGTTTCATTTGCACCCTTATGACTTTTTATGTGTTTTCCAATTTTTCTATAAAGAATATTTATTACTTATGCAACTGGCAAAAATAAAAATGTTAATATAAAAAGAGGTCTGAAAGTAAGCCTTTTGTAGCTTCATTCTTTTTTTTCACACATATATGGTCAATTTATTTACAATAAAAGAGCCAAAAATATAGTCAATACAATGGGAAAGGACAGGATCTTTAATAAATGGGGTTGGGAGGACTGCAGTGTAGCTTCATTCTTATAATACATTCATAGGGAGCCACCTTTTCTTTCTTTTTTTAAGATTTTATTTATTTTTTAAGGAGACGGGAAGGGAGGGCAAAGAGAGAGAGAAACATCAGTGTGCAAGAGACACATCAATCAGTTGCCTCTTGCATGCCCACAACTGGGAACCTGGCCTAAAACCCACCCATGTGTCCTGTCCAGAATTGAACTGGCAACCCTTCAGTTTATAGGAAGACGTGCCCACCCCCTGAGCCACACCAGTCATGGCAGGAGCCACCTTTTCACCCATTCTTTGGGGAACCTCTTTGGAGATGAGGAGCTGTGTAGCTGTGTAATCTCCAGGGAATTTGACTACTAGAAAGTGTTTATAAATTTTTGCACCTTCATGATCTGTGATAGTTCCCAATGTTTGAACCATGGGTCCTTGAGGTGAAGGGACCAGTACTTCATTGAAAGAGTCTACCAATTTTTACATGGGTAAGTGTTTTGCTCACTCTGTATGTACTAAAAGTATAGCTATTATTGTAGGTATGAGTGGGTGAAGTGATTATATATATATAAAGATATATATATTATATATATAAAATATATATCTTTATATATATATATAAATATAAATCTCAATAAATTTTATTTATATATATATAAATAAAATATATATATAAATAAAATCTCAAGAAGGCATCCTCCCACCCTGGCTGGTGTGACTAAGTGGATTGAGTGCCAGCCCCTGAACCAAAAGGATGCCAGTTTGATTCTCAATCAGGGCACATGCTTGGGTTGTAGACCAGGTCCCCAGTTTGGGGTGTGCAGGAGGCAACCGAAGTATCTCTCTCACATTGATATTTCTCTTCCTTTCCTCCCTCCCTTCCCCTCTCCATAAAATAAATAAATAAAATCTTAGAAAAGAGAAGGGATCCTTCCTTATACCTAAGGAAGGTTACCACTGAAACAAAGACTAAAAATAGTTGTTATTTAATTATCAGCATTAAGAATTAAAGATGCTCACTTCCTGCCCTTTGGATCAGAGTTTTCATGTCTTTGCTCAGCACTACAAAATGTCACTTTTATCATTTGCAAGCACTGTCTTTGCAACCCTTTCTCATCACATTGGTGTACATTCACTAAGCTGTCAATTGGTTTAAACATCTAACTTTTTTAGTCATATCTTCCCTTTCTAAGCTTAGATCTAACATCTAAAACTGACTGTCTCAAGCATAGCTTATTATGGAACACTGCTCCCTCCCTCCACCACACCAAACTTGCTCCTTCTCCTCCTGCCTTCTCTCTCTTACTATTGTGACATTATCCACCCAGCTCACAAATTAGAAACTTGACTCCTTCACTTCCTTCGCTCTTCAATTTACATCCAATTGATCACAGAGTCCAATGTATTTTACATCTTCAGAGTATCTCAAAGCCATGCTATCTGCTCCATCTTCAACACAACTGCCTGCCTATTATAACAGCTTCTCAATGGGTTTTTTCCCTGGGAGAATCACTTCAGAAGGCATGCAGAGGGCTCTTTCTAAAATGCAAATCTGGTCATGTCATTACCTTGCTTAAAGTCTTTAGTGTCTCTCTGTTGTTTACAAGAGAAGGCCTAGAATCCTCTGTTTGTCACTCAAGACACGACCCAATCTGGCCACAACCTCATTTTCCAAACTCATCTGCTACTCTCCACAATGCACTACCTTGTACTCTGATCATATCATATATTTTACTTTCATGCTGTTTGGAGTGTTCTTTTTTGTTTTATCTTCTCCAGTGACAATCTACTTTCTATTTTATGACCCACCTCAAGTATCTTTCCTCTAGAGATACTGTTCCTGATTTGACCAAGTGGAACTCACCTCATCTATCCCTTCATTCCATCCCATCAATACTTCTATTATTAATACAGGTAAAACTTTATGGCCTGATTTTACCCATGTCTTTTCTCTCTGTATGTGATCTCTTTAGGGGCAGGCACCATGTCTTTTTCATTTCTGTGCCTCCTAAACTCTAGCCATACTGAACTTATTGTTCTCTGAACATGTTAAGGGTTTTTTGTGGCATCCACCTTTGCACAGGTGGATCCCTCTGCTGGGAATGCTGTTATCCCTTTCTCTGCAAAGGCAAACATCTACTTGTCCTTCAAGACTCATCTCATGGATGGACCTAGAGGGTATTATGTTAAGTAAAATAAGCCAGTCAGAGAAAGACAAATGCTATCTGATTTCACTCATACATGGTATTTCATGAAAAGAATAAACTAACAAAATAGAAACAGACTCACAGAAGCAAAGAACAGACTGACAGCTGTCAGAGGTGAGGGAGGTTGGGAGGCTGGGTGAAAAAGGTGAAGGGACAAAGAGAAAAAAAACTCATAGGTACAGACAACAGTATGGTGATTATCAGAGGAAAAGGGAGGTGGGGGGAGGTAGAAGAGGGTAAGTTGGGGATAAACGGTGATGGAAGGAGACTTGACTTTGGACACAATACAATATACAGATGATATATTATAGAATTGTGTACTTGAAACCTATATAATTTTATTAACAAATGTAACCTTAATAAGTTCCATAAAAATATATTTTTAAAGAAAACACTCACCTCAAATGCAAGCTCTCTGAAATCTTTGCATGTTCTTTGGTAGAGTCCATTGTTCTCCACTCTGTGCTTCCCTTACCTTCTGGTCAAACTTTATAGCATTTGCTACATAATAAGTTTATAATAATTATCAGCTTATTTGACCATCACTAGGCTGTGAGATCTCAGAGAGCAAATCATCTTTGCATTTCTAGCACAAAACATAGTAGATATACAATAAATACTTCCTTGATTAATAATGAGATAGTCTTTTATGGTATATGTTTACCTGGGAAAAACTACTGGGTAGGTCAGTAAGCTTTGAATACTTACTTACTAACTGATAGAGGCACCTCTGGGTAAGTGCTAGATTCATAGGCCTTTTCTAAGTCTTGACTCTAAATCTTCCCATGATACTCTTCCAGGTGCTTATGCTCAATGGTTGGTGCACTGCCCATCCTAATCCCTCATGAGACTTGGTTGTGATGCGACCTATGGTCATGCAGGGATGCCCTTATACCTTTCCACGATGTCATGAGTGGCGGGCAGCTGATCAGTTCCATCATAGCAGCAGCCTCCGAAACGCCTGCCCCCAGCTTCAGGTAAGAGGCCAATAGCAAAAGGAAGACCTATGGAGAAAATGTGAACACAAGATCTATGTGTGTTCTTGTGGGTATCCATGCTTCCTAAGGCTCAGGGGCACTCTCTATATACATGAAATCCCTTGTATGGCACAGAACCTCCTTCTGGCCCATCCCTTGTCACTCATGAGGCCTTTTATGGGGGACATGAGGCAAGGAAGTGTATTGGACTGGGCAAGCCAAAGGGCCCACAGTGACTGAGGGGACTGGTTCCATGTTAACCTCCCAAGAGGGGTTCCAGAAAAGTATATTCTTACAGGGCATGGCCTAGGACAAGGCAGGACCTTATTTTGCCTTGGCTCCTTTGTGGCATACCTCATATTCTGCACCTGAATATGCTTCTCTCAAGTCCCAGTCTTACTTGAAGCTCCTGGCTCAGCTCCACTAGGAATCCCCTAAGCTTCATACCTGCCTCTCCTCTTTCTCTCCTCCCCTATGACTGTAGTTGTGGTACTGTGTGTACCTGCGTGTGTATATTGATAGGTAGGCAGACAATGTGTGAGGAACAATAATCCTGAGAGGACAGCCAAAGAGGCCCATGGGAAATTTGAGTGGACAAGGGAGAAACAAGCATATTTTGGCTTCCCTACAGTACTTTGGGTCCAGAGACCATGGGGGTTGAAAGATTACTGTCTCCCAGTTTTCTCAGGTGGGCTGACAGCAAATAAATACACAGGGAGGAGGAAGGGAAGGAGAAAGGTGGCAGAGATGGAGAATGTGAGTGGCGAGGAGCCCATTTTGGAGGAGAATAATGAGGGAAAGTCAAGGTCCAGAGAGGCATAAGATCCAGGTTTCTCCTGAGCTATTTTCCCCATATCTAGCCAGAGAAAAGTGCAGTTTTTAACATGTTCTCAAAGTCAGTGTCAACTCAGAGTCCCTTGGTGCACCTACCTCTTCCTCAGAGTGGGACTTTCATAGGGTCAAGGGATTGAGAAACATGGGCCCTTTCAAAAAGGTATCCCTGCTCATTGTCTGCCCCCTTCATAGGTATAAGGACCCAAGGGCTTCATTTTGTAATTGAGAATGGCAAGACCAACTCTTCTCCTCTGCCACTGTCCAGTTACTTCTCTTCCTTTCTTCCCTATGGCTCTGACTTTGTCTTAAAGTTTCAAGAGATAAGGAGAGAGTCCTGTGGGGAGTGATAATGAGAAGGAAACATCTTGGCCAGATGTAGAAGGCCAGAAGTAGAAGGCCATTGATAAAGAAAACAATTACTGTTCATTATTTGCTTATTGTTTGCCTGGCTCTGTTATATGGACTTGTGAGTGTAAAAGGGAATTAGGAGGGAACAACAGCATGAAAAAACATAGTAAGAGAGCTGAGTGGGGAGTTAGGAAACTAAGAAGAAGGCTAGAGGGAATGAAAGGCTAACATGGGTAGAGTGAGCTCATTGTAGGCACTTCCTACATAACCAGGAGAAGTTGGCTATGGCTGGGTCACAAGGGGCTATTTCTAACTCTGGGGTGTTCCCAGTCCAGGAGGATCTGCAGGAATGGCTTGAATTCAATGATTCCAGCATAGGAAAAGCTGTGACCTGGAGTTAGAGCCACTCCTCGTTTCTTGGCCTGCCACCCCTTACCATCCCCCATCCACCCCTGATGGCTCCAATCCAGACTCCCAGAAAGGGTCAAGCAGCTGTTCCAACTATTCCTGTAGGTGGGCCTCAGCATGGAAACAATGTGGAACTGTGGAAAGCCCAGAAGATTCTGTGGGAGATAAATGAGGATGGAAACAGAACCCTTTTTGGTAAACATTAAGTGTTTCCCTTAGTACTGAGGGGTGGGGGCCCAACTCAGGAATTTTATCCTTTCCCCAGCCAAGTCTGCTTGGCTGCTTCTAGAAGGGACACTGCCCATCATACCAGTGGCCCAGGGAAGCACAGGCAGGGCACAGGAGTTTCCCTGGAACTGAATCCCTGCATAGAGCTGCTGAGTTCCATTTTTTCCTCTCCTTCCCCTGCAGAGGCCCAAGGGGATGTCTGTAGACCATCCATTTCCCCCTGGTTTTAGAGTGTGGTGAGGGGTCTGGGAAGGATATGACTTTCCCTCTCCCCTTCTCTGCCTCCCAAAGGCAGGGCAGAGCACCCATGTGTTTTCACAGGAAGCTTGGATGAATCTGCTGCCTAACAGTCTGATCCTGCAGTCCCATGGCTCTATCCTCAGATGGGCCACACACATCCCTCACTGCCTGAGGACACTTTATCAGTCAAGGATGAGACTTATTTCTAAACCCATCCTCCTGCCATGCCTTTGGAAAATTGCTTATCAGAGAGATTTGTCACCAAAGTGGTCTGATCCTTCCCTCCATCTCAGAGGAGGGGTGGGCCTGGAAGCCGAGTCAGTCCTTTGTGTCTTCCATAGCAAGGGAAAATAAATCAGCAGAAGCTACCCTCTGTATGCCCCTCCTCAGCACTGTGGAATGCCGAGTCCCACTCCTGCCTGCCTTGCCAGTCTGGGAGGGACCTCCTGGCCCCAGTATGGTGGGACCAGTTGGGGGCAAGCTGGAATTCCCCAGGGACAAAGCTCTGATTCACCAGCTCAGCCCTGACATAGCCACCCCCTCCAGATTCCTGGGGGGTCAGTAAACAAACAGGGTGACAGCTCCCACCTCCCGGCCTGGCTCAGCTCTGTCTGCCCTCCCTGAGAGAGCCTGCTCAAAGCCAGTCAGGATTCTTCCTATGGCTCACCAGGCACTGGGTCTGGATTCGTGCTGAGGGATAATAATGGAGCTGCTGAATCCCGCCATGGAGTCCCCAGGCAGCACAGGTAGTGTCAGCTTCATTGGTATGCAGAGTGACTGAGTTGAGAGTTTTGCCCCAGAACCTGGCTGCTCCCTCATTTCCCTTTTAGTTTGTGGTTGCAAGCTATGGTTTTAATGGAATGATTGGTTTTCTAAGTTGCCTGGAGAGTCGTGTGAGGAGGAAGTTTTGTGTCAGGAGGAAGTCTTGGGGGGAAAGGAAAACTAGACAGTCTCAACTACCAGCCAGACTGTGTTCTTTCCACAGAAGGCAAGCAGGTGGACAGACAGGCAGTGGGTTTCCACAGGCTGGGGTGGAGAGCCTCTGCTGAGATTTCCTCCTCCACATTGCCCCTCCCTCCATCCCCAACTGCCCCCTGGTTGGGCAGTCCTGGTATTGTGCTGGAGGCAGCTAACTTCGTAGGGCTATTTGGCACAGCACCATTTGCCCAAAACCCCACATTACCCCACAAGGCAAACAAGTGATGAGTTCTGAGCTTGAGTGCCCAAAGCAAGATTTCAGCAGGTTCCATGGCTGGTCCTTTTAGCTGTCCACTCTGGTCAGAGTCATTTGGAGATCAGGATCCAAAATGCTGCTTTAGCCCTTTCTCAATCCATGGAAGATAGACAGTTCTCTTTAGGAGAATTTCCAGGCTTCCTGACCATGGTGGGAAATGTGGGTGGAGAAAAGGGAGAGGGGTAGCTCCTGAGTTTTCTTTTCCAGAGGTTGGATAAACTATGGGACCCTGAAATAGGAGCCTACAGCTCACCTTGAATGTTGTGGTTGCCAGTATTTGGGCAATTCTGAGCAGCTCTTACTTGATGCAAGGACTTCCAGGATCACCTCCAGGCAGTAGTCCTGGAAGAATTTACAATAATAAGAATAATACTGATAGTAGTCAGGAGTCATATGTGACCAACCTATGAGTTGACCTTACAATGAACAAAGCCATCAAGTTGTCTTTTATCTCAACCACGAATGCATCTGGGACAACTCTTCTCTTCCCTTCCCTTGTTTACACCTGTCTCACCCTTGTCTTCCTGTAGACCAGGGTGTGGCACATTCCAAGGATCACAGGATGTCTATGTTTTTGTCCAGGTTAGAGCTGCTGCCACCTCCCCTGCACCTCCTCAGGATGGTGCTGGGATTTTCTGCCTAAGCCCACAGCTGTTCCACGGATCTGTTAGTGTCGTTGGACCCCTGGAACCATCAGCCATGAATCTGTGTTGGAATGAAATCAAGAAGAAGTCTCACAACCTCCGGTAAGTCCTGTCCCCTGCAAATAAGGGCTCTAGGGATCTGGCTTGAACAGTGTTGGGTTCCTTTTGCTGCTACAGCTTGTTATTCTCCTCTCAGCATGTGTGTCACCTTCTTACCAGCCTCACTGTCCCCTTTTCCTCCCTTTCTTTCTCTGGCATTGGGGAAAGAGCCCTGGGTCAGAAGCCAGGAGACTTGGATTTGAGCCTCAGGTTTAAGAAGCTCTGTCACCTTGGATAACTGGTTTGAGTTATCTGAATTTGAGCTTCCATTTGTTTGCAAAAAAAAAGGTATAAGAATAATACCTGTCCTTACTACCTCACAGTGCTGTGATGAGGATTCAAGTAAGATCTGAAAATGCTTACTAAATTTAAAACCAGTGGTATATAAATGAAGGATATGATTACTCTTTCCTCCTCTTCTCATACCTGTTCTCCAGCTCGGTAGATCTCATCTGCTCTCTCTCTCTCATCCTTTCATCCTTCTATTCCCATCCATTGGTTATTAACCCACTTAGTGCTCCACACACTAAAGCAAATCAGTAAGAGCTAGAAAGTAATTTCTATGTGTATTTCTCTTTTCCCTACCAGTGTGTGTGTCCTCCGTCCCATTCTTTTCTTCTCCACTCCCTGACATCAAACCCCAAACCCATAGCTTCTAGTGGGCTCTGGTGGGGATGAGGCAGTGTGGAGAAGTTGAAAAAATACAGGCTCTGGAATCAGGTAAACCTAAATTCAAATCATAACTCTATCAGTGACTTAACTATGTGACCTTGGGTAAATTACTTAACCTCTCTAAGCAATAGTAGCGCCTACCTAGTAAAGTTGCTCTGAGATTTAGTAAAAGCAAAAATTTAGATAAAAGGATTAGTCCTGGTGGTGGAGAGGCCATGAATCATTAATCTTGTCAGCTAAGGTGAATGGGCTCATTGGCTAAACACAGTCTAGGCTGGCTTCCAGCTTCCTGCTATATGGATCTCACTCAGGTCATGGTTCCTTGTGGGGGGAGGCAGGCAGACATGATCATACAGTATACATTTTTCATATGCCATATGTTACTACCTCTAGCCTCTGTTACTATTTTTCTTTGGGGTCCTTGGAACTGTTATATTTGTATGCATCCTTGCACATGTCAGCATCCACATTCAATGACCTTACTTGCCCATCCCACTTACTGCATCTTCTACTGCTCAGAGGGAAGGCTATGAGAAGCCTCTGTGGATGACCAGTTTGGCATGACTTGAGTTCCTCTGAGGCAAGAGGGCAAGAAGAGAGTTCTTACCTCTAACACCCTTGCTCAGTTTTCTGCCCTTCCCAGCCTGATGCTGGGCATGTGACTTAATTAACTGATGACCACAAAGCAACATGTTAAACCACTTAAGTTTGGAATACCTCTCCACCCATGGTCCTACCCACTGGTTTTAGCACTGAGCTCCATGTGGAGGTACCTCTGTGGATGGGTAAGAGGGAAGGCTCTGGACATCCTCCTACTTCAACCAGGGTAATTCCTCTTTAATATGTTTTATATAGTAATGTTCTCCATAAGTATTTATTTGGGAAAAATGTTTTGCCACTTAAAAAAACTGAAAATCACTGGTCTTACCCATTGTGTGCAGAGCTCGCCTAGAGGCCTTCTCAGACCACAGTGGAAAGCTTCAGATCCCTCTACAGGAGATTATTGACTGGCTCAGCCAAAAGGATGAGGAATTGTCAGCTCAGCTGCCCCTACAAGGGGATGTGGCCCTGGTGCAACAGGAGAAGGAGACACATGCGGTAGGTTAGAATTATGAAGACCATCAGTCACAGAACGATAAATACCATATGATCTCACTTATATATGGAATCTAATAAACAAGATAAACTAACAAACAAAACAGACACAGAGGCATGGATCTCAGAACAGACTGAGAGATCTCAGAGGGGAGGGGGAGGGATGACTGTATGAAAGGTAAAGAGATTACCAAAGAACATATATGCATGAACACAGACAACAGCGCGGTGAAGGCCAGTGGGGGGTGGAAGGCACTGGATAGAGGTGAGCAAAGAGGGGGAAATGAGGTACATGTGTAATAGTGTCAACAATAAAAAATGGCAATAAAAACTGAGGAAAGTATTAAACTGTAAAAAAAAAGAAGAATTGTGGAGACCATGGTGTGTGACTCTCAGTCAGGAAGGGATCTCTTCTGCAATACCCTGACAGAAGGATACCAGTCTCTGCTTAGACACTTAAAGTAACAGGAAACTGCATGCAGTCCTAAAGACCTATGGATAGCACTTCACAGACAAAGTCAAATCTTTCCTCTATTTCTCTCATCAGTTATTGGCTTCCCTTAAAATCCTGCTCTGCTTTTGTAATGGAGCTACGGAAAATTAACATAATATAACATTAAATGAAAAAACACAGGATACAAAACCATATAGGGGTGGCTCTCAACTATATATCAATTATATAGATGTTTAGACATGTATACATACAGATGAAAACATAAGAAGGAACTATATCAAAATGTTCACAATGGTTAACAACTCTAGATGATGAAATTAGAGTTCTGTTTAATTTTTTATACTTTTATGAAACTTCTAAGATTTCTGTGACATATATTACCTCTATAATTGACAAATGAAAACAGAGATTTCTTAAAAATAAATGCAAAATGCACTGGGAGAAATGATAATTACATGACATGACAAAGATGTTAGCTAACATTGCAATGACAACATATTGCAATATAAATGTATTAAATGAATATGTGTATACCTTAAACTTATACAATATTATATGTCTATTATATCTCAATTACAAGTTCATACAGAATGGAATAAAATACAGCAAGAAAATAAATAAACTATAATTGTGTGCAACAGCATGGATGAATTTTAAAGACAAATATGATAACTGAAAAAAACATAAAAAAGAGGATATACTACATGATTCCATATATATAAAGTTCAAAAATGGAAAAAGTAATCAGTGGTATTACAAGACAAAAATAGTGGTTACCTGATGGAGGGTGGGGGGATGGGGAGGATGAGGTAGTGACCAGAAGAGGCCAAGAGAGAGCCTTCCAGGATGCTAATGGAGTTCTATTTTTTGACCTCAGTACTGCTTACAGAGATGGAATCACTTAAAGGAAATCCATTAAGCTGTACACTTTTGATTTTTGTACTTTTCTCTATGTCTATTTCAACAAAAAATTAATTAAAATCTTAATGTAATCTTGCCCATTCTGGTTTTGATTTCTCTAAACCCCTTATAGTGGACTTTTTGAGTGTTCTGGAGAACCAAGATTTCCAGTCGCAAATCCTCATGTTTTTCTCTACCTTGTGGCATAGAGAGACCCATTTCGTACTACAAAGATTGTCCAGTGTCAAGAGTTATTCTTTCTTCTGCTATAGGGAGGATTGCACCTCTTTTTTGTCGGGGTAGCCCAAAGGTACACGATAATGCCAAAAGATCAAGTTATACTGAGGAGAAGAAAGGTTGTAAATTGCAGGGTTGAAAGACTTTCTTTCCCTGTTGACTGTGTTGCTAAACTTCACAGGTCTTTATGGAAGATATCAAGTCCCGGGGCCCCTACATCTACTCTGTGCTGGAGTCAGCTCAGGCCTTCTTGTCCCAGCACCCATTTGAGGAATTAGAGGAACCTTGTTTGGAGAGCAAAGGTAGGTGGTCTTCCTCTCTTCCTCTTCTTGAACTATAAACCACTAACCACCTTCCTGCCTTCTTTAAACTCATTTTCTCAGCTGTTATCTAGGAGGATAATTTTCTCCTACGAGCCCAACATTGGAGAGGAGATAGATTCATACTGCAAGAAGAAGCAAAGAGAACAGAGCCTGGAGCAGGGTACACCAGCATGTGACCCAAAACTGTATGCAGATCTGGAGTATCACATATGGCCTTCTAATGAGTCATGAAAAAGAAAAAATAATAGACTCAAATACATTGATTGAATTGACTCGGTGAATCAAAGTAGTAGTATGTCTGAAAAGTTTGGTAATGACATTTGAGAAGAAAATTGATTATAGACTTTTTGATACTGACGCTAGTGACTTCTGGCCCCTTCCCTCAATAGAATGGGCCACTCTAGGTCTAAGTTCATATTACACATCTGGGATCCATGGTGATTAGGTCTGAATGGTTGCCCAGCAGCCCTCTTTTCCAGAAGAGTCAACTCTCTGAAATTGGCTACGAATAGCATGGAAGGACCCTTCATTAGTTGAGCCCTTTGTCAATGCTGTTGACCCTCTCATTTACTTTGAGCCCCTCAGTAGGAGTCTAGTACTCGATTTCCTGCCCAATGGACTTCAGATAGGAAAAGCTTAAGATAGAGGATAGTTCCAATTAGCCTAAAGTTTTAGGGCTCTGAATCTAATTCTGACAGGAGGTCTCAGGAAGAGAGAGGAAACCTATAATAGTTTAGGAACCTAGGTGGAAAATCTGGACAAATTATACTAACCTCTCCTGGTTTGAGCCTTCAGGAAATGCATCCCTTCTTTGGATGGAAAGAGGCAGCAGACACTAATGCAGAACCACATTCCAGGGTGATGTGAATAGGACTCTGGATTTTTTGCCTCATTGTGCTTCTTAAAATATTTTACTCACTACTTACCTTGCCCATTTTAAAAAAAAAACATATGAGGAAATCCTAATGATATAATAGACAGAGAACAACAACATGATCTGTTGACTACAGTAGTGGATCCATAGACCTACACATGATAAAATCAGTTAGATCTAAATACATGAATACACACAAATAGGTATGAGTAAAACTGGGAAACTCTAAACAAAATTAGTGGATTGCATCAATGTCAATATCCTGGTTGTGATAATGTACTATAGTTTTTCAAGATGTTACAATTTGGGGAAACTGGGTACAGGGTCCATGAGATCTCTGCATTATTTCTTGCCACTGCATGTGAATCTATAATGATCTATCTTAAGATAAAAAGATTAATTTTGAAACACCTAAATGTGCAAAAGGAGCTCAACCATTGGAGAATATATATTTGTATGAGTATATGCACAAATACACGCACATGCACATTTTACAAAGTGCTGTCTTTGTCTCTTTCTTTCCATGGGCTGCCCCTACCTGGTTGGCCACACCTGACTTCCTGCCTGCCCTCGCAGATACCTCTCCCAGACAGCGGATTCAGAATGTTAGCCGTTTTGTGTGGAAGCAAGCAACAGTGGCCAGTGAACTATGGGAGAAGCTAACAGCCCGCTGTGTGGACCAGCACCGCCACATTGAGCGTACACTGGAACAGCTGTTGGAGATCCAAGGGACAATGGAGGAATTGAGCAGTAGTCTGACTCAGGCTGAGGGAGTCCGAGCCACTTGGGAGCCCATTGGGGATCTGTTCATTGATTCACTCCCTGACCATATCCAGGCTCTTAAGGTATGTGGGCACCCTCACCTGGCTATTGTCCACCATAATGCCTGACACTCCTCCCCGACCCTGAAAAATTTCCTGCTCCTGAAAGTTCCTTGTTGACCAGGACTACCAGTTTATGTGCTGGATTTCAGTGCTGCTTTATCTGGTGTCCTCTCTGCCCTTCTATTCTCTTCTCTTTCTTGAGTGTTTTCTGAGAGTAATAAAGGAAGAGGATAAGGACAGTGGCCATTCACATCTTACTCCTGTTGCCCTAATAGGCAAGCACCTAGGTTGTGCTGTTGAAACAAAATCTCTGAGTGAAGAGGGAGGAGTTGAGGTAAATGACTAATAGATTCTCTTTTCTACTCTCTGTCCACTATGGGACTTGGGCCCTGGTTCTAAAGCTATTCAAAGAAGAATTTTCCCCCATGAAAGATGGAGTGAAGTTGGTGAATGATCTGGCCCATCAACTTGCCATTTCTGATGTGCACTTGTCAATGGAGAATTCCCGGGCCCTGGAGCAGATAAACATCCGGTGGAAACAGCTACAGGTAGAGAAGTCTGGAGTAAGGCATAAGGAAGTGCCTCAATGAAACTAGGCTTGGGGGAAAATTCGCTATGCCCAAAGGAAGTGAAGGGGCATTGAAATGGGATCTACATAGGAGAATAGTAGAGAATCTGGGGCCAGGTAACAGGTTTCTGAACCTCTAAGCTATGAGGAATGCTTGAAAAGAAGATCTGATAGGGACATATCTAAATATGGACACTTAGGATGCACCAGGACAGATGAAGAGTGACTATGACCTGGCATTAGGGATGCTCACCTCTGACCCTTGGGAGTCCTATGGGAGAGTTAGCAGTTGGGTGTCGGTGGGAGGAGCTGGAACCAGAGAAGAATCAGCCTGTAAGGGACTTCACAAAGATTCTTGGAGGCACCTGGAAATCCCACACTAAATATCTTGAATGAATCCACTGACTTCCTACCTGTTCTTTCCGTAGGTTTCAGTTGGAGAGAGACTTAAGCAGCTCCAGGATGCCCACAGGGACTTTGGGCCTGGGTCACAGCACTTCCTCTCCTGTACGTGAGACAAACTGAAATTTACTTAGCGGGGTCTCCACCACCTTCTGGGAGAGTCTACTGTTGTCTCTTGGGGGCCTAGTGAGAGCCCAGTATACCTTGACATTCTAGATACAATAAGGTTAAAGCAGTATAGTATAGTGGTTAAAAATATAAACTCTCAAATCAGAGAGACCTGGGTCTGGGTAACAGCTCTTTGACTTAATAGCCGTGCAAGCTTGGGAAAAAAAAAAAAAAGCTTAATATTTCTGAACCTCAGTTTTCCCATATATAAAAAGAAGTAAAAATATTACCTAGCTCACAGGGTTATGGAAATTAAATGTGGACCAGGTGTTCTTCTAGGCACAAGGGCAACATCAGTGAACAAAATAGAGAAAAGTCTTTAGACTTGTAGAGGTTATATTCTCTTGAAGGAAGCCAGACCATAAACAAATAAGTAAAAATTATATGAGGTAAATTGGTGACAAGTGGTATGGGAAAAAGTAAAGCAGCCTAGGTGTGAATAGGAAGTGATGGACTTAAGGGGGCCAGGCATTGCAATTCTGAATAAAGTGGTCAGGAAAGGCCTCACTGAGAGTATGGAAATGGAGAGGAAGACTCAAGGAGGTGAGGGAATGAGCCATGTGCATATCTGAGGGAAGAGCATATAAGGAAAAGGGGACAGCAACTTCCAGAACCCTAAGTCAGGGACATGCCTACTGACCAGCAAGGAGACTGGTGTAGAAGTGAGCAAGGAAGGGAGAGAGTGGGAGGTCAGAGTGGTAGCAGCAGCCCAGAGCACAGAGGGCCTTGTAGGTTAGAGTAAGAATTTGGGATTTTATACCGAAAGGAATGCAGAGCCTTTGGAGGAGTTTCAGAAAAAGGATGACATGGTCTGACTTGTTTCAACAGAAGAGTCAGAGTTTTGGGGGCTGAGAATGGGAACAGAGAGACCTGTAAGCAAGCATATTCCAATAATCCAGGTGAGGGATTATGATGGCTCAGATCAGGGTGGTAGCAGTGGAGACAGTAGCAATATAGAGATCTGAAAATTAGATATGCACACAAAGCATTAAAAGGATATCTGACACATGGTAGGAACTCAACAAATGTTAATGGCAGTTGGAACTATTGCTATGATAAGAACTGATATGTAGTTATACCTGCAGAGGGCTCTTGTACTCAGAGAAATGGTAGTTAGAAGGTTAGACAGGTAACTGAGCCTCTCCTGGAACATCTAAAAAATAAAGACATGAAGGAGAAAGGGACATCCTTTAAAGCAGGGGTCCCCAACCTCAGACTGTGGTCCAGTACTGGTTCATGGCCTGTTAAGAACCTGGCTACACAGCAAGTGGTGAGCAGCAGGCTAACAAACAAAGTTTTGCTCACATTACCGCCTGAGGTCCACCTCCTGTCTCCTGTCTCCCTCCACCTCCAGTCCATGGAAACATTGTCTTCCATGAAACCAATCCCTGGTTCCAAAGATTGGGGACTGCTGCTTTAAAGAATTTCTCACCATAGAGAAATGGGCAGTACTATCCCCGGATGTCCCATAGGACTAAGTAGTTTGACCTTCTTGGGAAAGGGCTTTGAGCCCCAGGAAGAATGTAGGTTCCACTTCATAACCACAACAGCACCCCAGCTACCTGTAGCTGAATGGGTAGAAATGCCACCCTGGTCAGGGAGAAGATTGTCAGGGTGGCCAGGGTCAGGTATTCCTGTTCATGCCCTTGCCACATCTCTAGAACGTGATTTTATCATTGAAAATCTCTTTTCTTTCCATTGCCGTAAGATCAGGGAGAGAAGTGCACTCGTTACTTTTTGTCCCACGCTTAGGGGCTGTTAAGAGCTACCAATGAGAGTCAGGCATCCTCTTTGGGGCTTGACCTCTACTTAGGAGACAGAGCAGGGGAGTCTCTAGGGGCCTGAAGAGCATGAGTGACCAGCTTCTTTTTCTTTCTCTTCTCCCTTAACAGCCTCTGTCCAGATTCCGTGGGAAAGAGCAATTTCACCCAATAAAGTTCCCTACTACATCAAGTGAGTGACCATCTGAATCAGAAGTGGGTCAGTCACCTGCCCATCCCCTCCCTCGCCTGTCTTTTTTTTTCTACCTGTCTCTGTCTCTCCTTATCTGTTGGGATTCCTTCATGCAGTCCAATTTTTCCTCCAACTCATCTCAAGAGCTCAAGATTCTACCTGGATAAAGGTGAACCCTTGTGCCTTAGGATCGTCAGGGTTCACCCCTGGATCCTGCAGCTCCTTGCATCCAACCTATCACTGAGTGGGGTGCACTTGTGTGAGGGAGGTAAGGGGTGGTGTGGACCCCGGTGCTATTGATGTTTTTGTTTGTAGCCACCAGGCTCAGACCACATGCTGGGACCATCCCAAGATGACAGAGTTATACCAAACCCTGGGTAAGAATGCAGGATTCCTGTATAGGGTGGATATTCAGCTGCCTTTGTTCTGTAAGAACAAAATGGAATCCCATTCAACAAGCAGGTGGGGATGGAAGTGAGTGCCTTGTCCTTCCTCCAGCAGCTTCCTTTCATTTCCCCTCTGCACCTCCCTCACCTGGAGGTTCTACATTCCCTCTGGACCATTTTATCATTACATCAGGAAATTATGCTTGTAGATGTGAACCAGATCTGCTTTGAGAAACACTGTGCAGGATGTAATGAATGTGACTCTCATGTGCCGTATTTTTGGCTACTAACAAAGACTCACCTTTAGGTTGCAAATTTTATCCATGTTGATGTATATGAATTTAGTCCATTTATTTGAAATGCTGTAGAGTGTTCCATTGCATATACTACACTTTCTCTGTCCAGACTACTCTTGATAGGCATTTGGGTTGTTTCCAGTTTGGAGTTAATAAAAACAGTGCTGCTGAAGAGCTGTTGTGAAAACCTTCTGGTGCACATGTGCATGTTTTTCAGACTACAGGTTTAACATTGTTTCAGTGTTATGACAAGTATTTTAAAAATTGAAATAGACCAAGAAATATGAAAGAAAGTGCAACAGATCTTTAGCAATATCATATTTGATATTAATTTTATGTTTTTAGCTTATCAAATCTAGGATGGTATTTTTCCTGAAATGTTTGATTCAGTTATTTATACATACTCACATGAGTATGTATATTTAACCATGATTTTAAATGAATTTCTCACTATGTGTCTTGGTCAGAAAACATTTGAAAATCACTGATCTGGATATATAACTGGCTGAGTTGTAGGATAGCTGAATGTTCAATTTTCCTGGGTAATACCATGCTGTGTTCCAAGGTGATTGTATCCGTTCACACTTCCACTAACAGTTATTCATCCACATCTTTGCTGACACTTGCTATTGTCAGACTTTTATCTTTTGCCGATCTAGTGGGTATATAATGGTATCTCATTGTGATTTTAATGTGCATTTCTCTGATCTGAGTGGGTCTCTTTCCATTCTTTGCAGCTGATCTGAATAACATTAAGTTTTCAGCCTACCGCACTGCCATGAAGCTACGCAGAGTTCAGAAGGCACTGCGTTGTAAGTCTCCCATCACACTTCCCTTATGGCCTTCCTTCTACTCCTCTTCCTCTCTGTCGGCTGTTTCCCACTTTTGTCCCACCTTGGCCAGGGTTGTTGATTGGCTTGGTGGGAATCTTCCAAAGGCTTGGATGTGCTGGCTATGAACACCTGCTCTTTCCAGAGCCCTTCCATTCTCTCCAAGCCCCAAACCTGTTTGAAAATTAACCCACAGCTATCCTCTTCCTTGTCCCTTCTTTCCTGCCCAACATGGATAATCAAGCAACTGTTTTATGGCAGTAAGTATCTTAGCTCATACAACCCCATCTTGGGGTTATTCGATGTAGCAGCAGATCTGTTGAAGGATATGTCCATGGTTAGGGGAAAGCATGGCTACAGATATAATGTGCCTCCCAGCCTTTCTCAGAGACACTGTTTATTCAGTCTTTCTGGCATGTCTGGTTAGTCTGCTTCCACCACTGGGGGTAGTTTAAAGACCTCCTGAGGTATGTCACAATTACCCAGGCACATCTGAGCCTTCATAAGTGGTGACTAGGTTCTCAGAACAAGATCCATGGACAAACCTTTTTGCAGTTGAAATATATGTAAAGACAGAGAAAGTTAAAATGGGATTTCTCCAACAAAAGAGGTGAGTTTACTCACATCCCACCATCCTCTTGAAGCTGATGTCAAAGAGCATATGGGTATAGAAACATTTTGGGTTAATATAGGAGGCCTTTTGCTTATTTCTCCCCTCCTTGGTAAAGGACAAGCTTGTATCACACTTACATGTGGTTTGTCTGGAGACTGAGTCAAATTTGATGAAGCTGGTAGCCTTATCTCCTTGCCTAGAGTGTGGGGTTCTTCTTTTGGCTCTATTTTCTCTGTCTCTCCTTTCTTTCCTAGTGGACCTCGTAACTATAGCCACAGCCTTGGAGATCTTTAATGAGCATGATCTTCAGGCCAGTGAGCATGTGATGGATGTGGTGGAGGTCATTCACTGCCTGACTGCCTTATATGAACGGCTGGAGGAAGAAAGAGGCATCCTGGTCAACGTGCCACTCTGTGTGGACATGAGCCTCAACTGGCTCCTCAATGTATTTGATAGGTAAGGACTTGCAGCCCTTGCAGCCTCCAGGATGAGATTCAATAGGACATCTGGAGTGGGCCTGGTGGAAAGAGATTGCTCCCATGGTGAACTTGGACCCAACTCAGTTTGGGGCATGGTTGGCACAGAGCCCTGCTGAGGTCAGATCTGTGAGTGAAATGACTGCCAAGATGTTAACCATTTACACACATTTATGTTCTCAGTCTCTTCTTTTAAACCTAGTGGTCGCAGTGGAAAGATGCGGGCATTGTCCTTTAAGACTGGCATTGCATGCCTGTGTGGCACAGAAGTGAAGGAAAAACTTCAATGTGAGTACAGCTTCAAAATCTGGAAGTGGAGTAGGGTAGAGGGAGAGATGTGGTGGGAGGAGGGAGGGTAACAGACTAGCAGAAGGTAGGTCTTAGGACTCAGCAGAGGGGGCTACTCAGGCTATCTTATGATACTTCCTGGTCTAGGCTATTGCAAAGAACCCACGATAGCCAAAGGCCAAGATGGGCCTAAGGCTTGTTTTTATTCCCAGTGTCACTCCAGTGGGTTTGGTTTCTTCTAATCTGATGTAATTATTTACCTGGATCTGAGTTAGCATCCTGGGGTACCCAGAGTCCAGACTTTCTAGTTCTATTTCCTCATGGTCTATCAGGCTTAGCCTTCTCCAGTCTGGAGCTCAAGCCATGTCACACTTCCTACTGGAGACTTTCCATGTGATTACATTGGTAGTGTGCAATAATCCCCATTACTGGGAGATGGACAGTATGTAATTCTGTAGTTTTCAGCCTCTCTGGTGGATAGTGCCTTTGCTTTCACCTCTATCCTTCATCTGTTGTACTTTTCTACAGCAGCATCCTTAGTTGTCAAATGCTTACTGTGTGTTAACCACTTTGATAAATGTGGTGAGCACTAGGTTCAATTAGACATTGTCCATGCCTCAAGTGGTTTATAGTCCAGAGGAGGAGACAGAAATACACAGAAAACAGTTTTTATAAAGTGTTAATTAGACTAATCAGGATGGCAAAGGATATGTGCTATATCAGATCACAGAAGAGAAATGACTGTGGTCTGTCTGGGAAAACTTTACAGGGAAGGAAACATATCAAAGCATGTTCATAGCTATGTTATTATTAATGAGGTTTGTCTGGAAAAAGTCCAGCCATTGTTAATTTAACAAGGATGGTTTGCACAACATTGATGTAACCTGGCAGGCAAGAAAAGTGGACTGGAATGCACATGCTTAAACAGTGACAACTTCACTGTACTAGGCTGTGGGGGTGGTAGACACCATTGAGTGAGCATGTGTACTGTGTGGCCATCTGATTCAAAATGACTGAACGAGTATAGCAACAAATCTGCATTAAATTTTGCATGAAGCTTGAACATTCCTATGTGGAAACTATTCAGATGATTCAAAAGGCTGCAGCTATGGGCAACTGGTGATTGGCAACTTCATCACAACAATGTGCCTGTTCATGCATCATTTCTCAAGCACGGGTTTTTGGTGAAACATCAAATCACCCAGGTGACTTACCCCTCTATTGCCAAGATTTGGTGCCCTGTAACTTTTGGCTTTCCCCAAAACTAAAATTGCCTTTGAAAGAGAAGAGATTTAAGATCATCCATGAGATTCAGGAAAATACAACATGGTAGCTAATGGCGTTTGGGAGAACTGTGTGAAGGGGAATGAGGTGTCATTTTCCTACGTACAGTATTTCTTGTATCTTCTGCCTTCTTCAATAAATGTCTCTATTTTTCATATTACATGGCTGTATACCTTCTGGACAGACCTCCTATTTCTTTCAACATTCCTTTGACATGGGGTGGACAATGATTATTTATCTTCAATTCACAAGTAAGGAAACTGCAGCATAGAGAGGTTCATGACTTAACTAAGGTTCTATAAGCTAGTCAGTAATGGATCCAGTACTAAAACCCAGGCCCTCTGTCTTCCATGTTTTTGTGTTTTCTAAGCCTTAGGTGAAGTGTGAAGCAGACAGACAATAATCTCTGGAGGAGGTTTTCTAAGGTTTGAGTGCTATGGGAGAGTTCCCACAAGGGCAGATATATCCCATATTCAAATATAAGTACCACAGCTTATTCTACAATCACTTAGAGATAATTCATAGATGATCAAGTGTTTTTAATTATCTCCTCTTTTTTGGATTATCTGTGTCAGTTTATCTTTCCATTTGTGTGAAGAATTGAGAAAACACTACGATATAAGCTAGGAGGGGATAAGGCAGACTAGCTGTAACTCATGTCCAGGTAACCCTAAATCCCACACCACTCATCCTGCTTCTTGAGAACCTGTTTTCCCAACTGTGTTTATCTGTGTCTGGCACTGCTCTCTCACCCAGTTTGCTCTTTGTCTTCATCTCTGTGTTCTCTCTTTCTGATGTTCTGTCTCTTTTGTCCATCTCACTTTTCCTCTCTGAACTCAGAGAATGCTCTTTTTAGAACTTTTGGGCTTCTAGAAGGTCAGGGATTGGCCTCTAGATATTCCAGTTTCAAAAGGCATTAGCTAAATCTATGTGGTCTTTCCCTGTCTTCTTTTTCTGCTCTTTCTCCCTGCACCATTCTCTGGCCATTCCTGCACTGGGGTTGGTCATGACTTATGGTGGGGCCAGCAGACCTCTTCAGCCAAGTAGCCAACTCAGGCAGCCAGTGTGACCAGCGCCACCTTGGTGTCCTGCTTCATGAGGCCATTCAGGTGCCCCGTCAGCTGGGGGAAGTGGCAGCCTTTGGGGGCAGCAATGTGGAGCCCAGTGTCCGTAGTTGCTTCCGTTTTGTGAGTATGGACCTGGGTAGGGTGGAAGGGAGGGATAATGGGAAAGAGGGTGGGAAGAAGGGAGGGAGAACTAAGAACGAGTCTTTTGATCTGAACTACTCACATATAAGGGAGTTTGTTGGGGTGGAACAGCAGGGCAGAGGGTTCCCTGCGTTTTTAGCGTCAGAGTCCTGCCAGAGAGGGTTCCAGTTCTGCTAGGACAGGACAGAAGGTAGACACCTCTGGAAAATAGACCAACCCAGGTCTTGTTAGTTCTGCTCTTTCTGAGGGCTGCCATTCTGAGGACAAGATACTCTGGGTCTCAGTCATTGCCATTGGGCTTCTTGTTTCCCTAGAGCACTGGGAAGCCAGTCATTGAAGCTTCGCAGTTCTTGGAATGGGTCAACTTGGAGCCCCAATCCATGGTGTGGCTAGCTGTTCTGCATCGGGTCACCATTGCAGAGCAAGTGAAGCATCAGACCAAGTGCTCTATCTGTAGGCAGTGCCCCATCAAGGGCTTCAGGTAGGTAAAACAATACCTGATAGAATAATAATAATTGTAAATAGGCCACGTTGCAAATAAATCATATATCACAAAAAATGTATTACCTAATTACATAAGTACAACTAATCTATTGTATGTTTTTATATATTGTTATAATTCTATTGCAGAATGTTTAACTTTTTAAACAATCTTAAATATTTTCTTTTGTTTTAGTTATATTATGAAATAGTCCAGACCTACAAAAATGTATAGACAAGCCAAATGTGGTGGGTGAGGGAACAGCACAGAAGGGGAAGTAATTTGCTTATGGTGTCCCAGAGAGCATTAAGTAGAGCCCAGAAACCCCAGCATACTGACATAAGAACATCTATGTACCAAATGGTATGCTGGCAAATGATTCACAACCGACTCTCCATGAAGCAATAAAGAAACCTAATTTGTAGTGTTTGCTGATTTCCAAGATGTAAATACTCTCACTATGACCAATGTCTGGCTACCTGCAGAGGTTGGAAAGAGATGCACAGTACTTCCGCCATGTAGATTAGACAAAACAACAAGTTTTGAATATTTATTACTTCCGTTTTTAATATTTTAATTTACTTAATTTTGACCTTATATAATTTATTTTTAAAATAATGGCTGTGCGCTGGCTGCTGTGGCTCAGTGGATTGGCCTGTGGACCAAAAGTTTGCTGGTTCAATTCCCAGTCTGGCACATGCCTTATTTGCATGCCAGATCCCCAGTTGAATGTGTGAGAGAGGCAACAATCAATGTTTCTCTTACACATCATGTTTCTCTCCTTCTCTTCTTCCTTTCTATTCTCTCTAAAAATAAAAGAATAAAAAATCTTTAATAGTAATAAACAAGTGGACACAGAGACCCTTTTAAAAATAAAAAATTAAAAAATAAAAATAATACAAAATAAAATAATGGCTGTATTTAACAACCAAGTTGGAAAATCCCTGAAATATTAACAATTGGTTCTTGCGAGCTATTGTGAGCCAGCTCCAGCAGCCCATAGCACATAACCACCACCAAGCTTAAGAAATAACATGTTATCACAATACATTTGAAGTTCCGCCTATTACATTCCTATCCTTCTCCCACAAGGAAATCACTATCCTAAAATTGGATTTCATAATACAATGCTTAATGTTTTGACTTTTTAAAGCACTAACACACACTCTCTTCACAACCACCATGCTTTTTATAAGCAAATGAGGCAAAGAGGTGGAATGTGACTTGATCAAGTTCACAGAGATGGTTATTATAGATCCAGGACCAGATGTTTGATCCTCTGACTTCTCTAAGTCTAGGCATTTCACCATTCTATATACTACTAGGCACAGGCAGCTCAGCCAGGCTTGGGAACAGGTTCTGAAGGGCTAGTCTATATCAGAATTATAATTTAATAATAATAATAATAAATATAATATAATAATAATAGTAATACTAGAGTTCTTATTAAAAAAAAAAAACTTTTGGAAATAACTTTCAGCTAACTTTCCCAGGGCTGGTAGAATAACTGGAAGAGTAATATACCACTACCTGTAAGATGAACACTTTGGGGTCATCCTTGCTTACAAAGCTATTTGGTATTGTGAGCAATTGATACCTGCACGCTTCCTTTTAAAAAAGATGGTAAGACCATGGTATTTCCCACACTTCATGGAGAATATATGTTCTATATAATAAGACTAATAATTTAGTAAGGACTCAGCTACTGCTATATATAGGAGGTTGAGCATATTATGGCTCCATGACACACCCCCATCTAATGTTTGTCTATATTTGTATATTAGGGGAATGGGGAAGTGACTGTGGTCCTTTGGATCCTCTGTCCTAATGCCTCTCCTCTCCCCAAGGTACCGGAGTCTGAAACAATTTAATGTGGACATCTGCCAGACCTGCTTCTTGACAGGCAGGGCCAGCAAAGGCAACAAGCTGCACTACCCCATCATGGAGTATTATACCCCGGTACGGAGCCTCCAGGCCAAGTAGGAGGGGGAGGCAGATCTCAGGTTCTGGGCCCTTGATCTACTTGGCCAAGCATTGGCTAAATGTATTCTATTCTCCTCGGGGGAGCATTCTCCCAACAAGCCTGATGATTCACCGGTTTGAGGGATTCAGACCTCTCTGTTCTTCCAGCAGAGCTTCTCCCTCACCAGGGCCACAGCTGGCTATAGCATCCCAGGAGCACTCTCAGCCATTTAAAAGACACTCATTATTTTCCTGCCTACAGAAGTTTCAGGAAAAAATAGAGTAAGACAGTTTCAGGCAATGAGCTTTCTGTTGCTCTCTTTAGTTTTTCCCTTCTAGTTTCTTATATTGCTCCTATCACCTGGTCTTTACCTGCTACTTTGTCATTGTTTCCATCTCTTCTAGTCAATACCAAAGTTTGTCCTCAAATTAATTACTCAGTCTCTTGGGAGGAATCGGGGTATTCTCTTTACCTGGATCCCAATTACACTTGGTTTTCTTTGGAAACCATGCCCTTCATAGCCACCAGAGTCCAAATTGGTCAGCAGCCACAGAATTTCTGCCCAACTACAGATTTGGCTGCCTGAGCTGACTCTGCTTCCTCAACTCCTTTATCCTTTTCTGTCCCACAGATATTCTCAAAGCCCCAAGCATATGCACCGTTCCCCCTACTGCTCTCTCCCACCCTGCCTCCCCATCTTTCAACCAGTTTCCCCACAATCCATCCCTCCAAGTTGTTCCCTTGTCCAAATTCTGTTGGTACAGAAACATGCAACCTAGTAGGAAGAGGGACCTTGCCCTTTCTTTTTCTTTCATTATCATTTTAAACTAAATGCTATAAAAGCCATACATGGAAAAGGGGCTCAAAATGGTAAACTGATAATCCTCTTCCTCCTGCTCATCTATGTTGCTATAATTTATGTAAATGAGATTTTTAAAGTGAACAAATATGTGCTTATTGTAGAAGATTCAAATTATATGAGGTGTTTAAAGTATAAAATGAAAGACCTCTCTCCTCAGCCTGGTCTTCACCCCTCTGGTCTGACTTCTCAGAGGCAGCCAGTGTTCCCAGTTTGGGATGTGTCCTTTTGGACTTTTTTCTAGGAGCAGGGTGTGGTAGGCATGAACAAGAGTGGAAGATTAGTCACATATCTTGCTCTAGAGGAGCAGCCACACCTACCCCATCATATTCCAAAGCCTTTAAGGTGAGTTCTTCTACACTGTTTCCCCTCAGACCACATCCAGTGAGAACATGAGGGACTTTGCCACAACCTTAAAGAACAAATTCCGTTCAAAGCATTATTTCAGCAAACACCCTCAGCGAGGTTATCTGCCTGTACAATCAGTGCTGGAGGCTGACTACAATGAGACGTGAGTACCAGTGGTTGGACAGGGGCTGTGGGCAGCCTTGATGAGCCTGGGTATGTGAAGGGGCTGAGAGCCATGTGGTCCAGGAGAGTGATCCAGAGCAAACCCGCCTAGTGATAGGACAGTTCAATTTAGGCCTGACGAAGAATTAGGCCTGAGAACTAGACCCTGTACATCCAGCCTCTGTATCCTGTTCCCATCAGCTCTTGCCCATCTCACTAATTTAGGAAGGGGGATGGTAGCGGTAAGGAAACAGGCTGCCCTGCTGCCCAGTCTTTAGTCCTCTGAGTCTTTGCTGCTTTCTTCTAGGCTGGCTTCTTCCCCGAGGTTACCACATGCTGACACACACTCCCGCATTGAGCATTTCGCCAGCAGGTACCACCAGGTTTGGGGGAGAGGAATTGTAAGGAGTCTCATGGGGAAGGGGTTTTCAGTTGGGGCAAAGAGAAAGAAGTCAGGCCAGGGGGACATGCACAGTGGGGTATGTGGCAGCCACCAAGGCCCAACACTTAGGTATGGTTGGGGCAGCCTCCAAAACTGATGATTCTACTGTGGGATTAGAGTCCTTGAGATGAAAACAAGCCCCCCACCCTGTTTTCCCCTCTGTCCCTGTTCTTTTTTCCCAGGCTTGCTGAGATGGAAAGTCAAAATTGCTCCTTCTTTAATGACAGCCTGTCCCCAGATGACAGCATGTGAGTTTTCACAGCTGCTTCTTTTCCAAAATTTCTACCTCTCTTTAGGATTCTTCTGCCACTATTTATTTGGAAAGAGTATATCTTTAAGGGGAGGAGGGCTTGGTGATTAGGGTCTTTGACTAAGGAAGGAAAGCTGCTTTCTGGGCACAGTATTTAGTAAGAGAAAAAGTCTGCCCTCTATCAAGTGAGTAGGGAAAATGAATGATATACTACCTCCCTGTCACATCCTTCTATGCCCAGATTTGAGGGAAGAAGAATACACTCTCATCTAACTTTGCAGAAGTGAACCATTCTTATGCTCAGGATGCCAAAGCCCCAGCTAGTGCCCCAGCAACCCTAGGGAGACAGCAGGGACTTGACTGAAGTGTGTCCAGAGAGAGTCTCTGTTGCTGAGCCCCAAGAAATGGCCCTTAATCTCTAGGAAGGTACCTGCCCACTCAGAGGGCCTAAGGGCTGCTAGTTACATGGATCAATCTGGCCCTGATTGTGATTCAGGCAGGCAGTGATCCCCCTGGGAGTGGGGAAAAGAAGGGTAGGCAAGGGGAAGGAATAGCACAAAATGGAAATCATTTCCCAGGGGGCTTTAAGTAGAAATCAGAAGCCCCAGCATACAGAAAACCCTGTCTCCTACTGTACCCAACCATGACCTCTGCCACCTTTGAATACTTCCATCCCTCTTAAGCCTCTTTTCCCTCTCTACAAGACTTAAAAGAGAATCTTCCACCATGCATCTCCTGAGGCCTGAGTTGGGAGCTGAGAACACATGCCCTGAGCTGTTTCTAGGTACAGTGACTGGCCATCTCCTTTCCTTTCCCCATACCCATGCAGAGATGAGGACCTGTATCTGCTGCGGCACTCCAGCCCCATTACAGACCAGGAACCAGGTTTCGGACAGCACGCTTCATGTAGCATGGCCACAGAAAGCAAGGGGAAGCTAGAGAAGATCCTGGCCCACTTAGAGGATGAGAACCGGTGGGTGTGGTGACGGCATAGATCTATGTGGGTTCTAGGGTCAGTTAAATTCAAGTCCTGGCAATTCCACATCCTAGCTATGTGGCCTCAAACATGCTATATTCTGTGATTTTCCACTTCTTCATCTGTAAAATGGGGATGATGGTAGTTACCTCTCTCTTATGGGCACTTGTGAAGATCAAATGATCAGGCATATAATGCATTAGCCAGTGCCTGGCTTAAAGTAACTATTAAGTAAGTGCTAGTGATTCTAGTAATTACTTGAATCCCTTTAACTCAACCCAAATATTTTCAAGTACCCACTGGATGCAAGCAGAAAGAATACAAACCCAGAGAATACAGAAGGGCATACATGTCTCTTTCCTCAAGGAATTTTCAAGGTTGGAATGGAAGAGATACTAAGAACTTAGTGAAAATAATAAGAGGAAGATAACACTGCATAGCACATTTGAGGACTGGAAGAGAGAAGGCGAAGAAGTATTCATGGTAGCAAGGGCCTGAGGAGGGTCTAAGCCACTTTGGGGGCATGCAATAGAATCCATAGTTCCCTTAGAACACTGCTTCTCAAACAGTAGTGAGCATACATGTCACTTGGGCAACTTGGTAAAATGCAGAGATTTTGATTCACAGGCCTCTCTTCTGGCCTGAGTTCCTGCATTTCTAACCAGTTCGCAGGGCATGCCCATGCCACTGACCCAAAGACTGTACTTGGAGTTGCAAGTCCTTAGAACAGGGCCAGTTTGTGAAGTGTTTGTTACTCATTCAAAATAAGTTAAATACAGAAAGAGAGAGTAAACTTTTAGAAACTCTTATAGCAATTTTACATTGCCATGACATTCCAGCAGATAATTGGTGGACTTGTCTTCATTGAATTTGGTATAGACCAATTTGACTGTTGTTGAATTTGCATGGCAAGTCATGTATGGTATGAGCTGTGTACTAGCACATTCAGATCACATATTGGTCCACAGTGGATTGAAAAATTCCTCTGGTATTTCATTATGGATAATTTTATTTATAATTTAATTTATTTTCAATTATAGTTCACAAAATATTTATTTCAGGTAAACAACAGTTATTAAACATTTATGTAACTTACAAAGTGATCACCCCAATAAGCCTTCACTACAGATAGTTTGAGGAGCATTGCATTAGAGCAGCGGTGGGCAGGCCCTAGTAAGCAATGGGGAGAAAAGAATTCTGTTGCAGAGAGAAAGAGAGGGAGAAAGAGAGAGAGAAGAAAAAAGTGATATCCCCCAAAGTAGACCATCTTTTTGGAATCTGTTTTCCTGAACTCAACATGGGTGTTCAAAATGTGCCAAAGGCAAAGGTAGTTGACAGAAGAGGCAAGATGGATGATATTTTGTTTATGTTATATCTTCTAAAAATCTAAAAATGGAGTAGGTGAGTCAGTGGCCCGAATGCCTCATTTTTTGCACTCTGTGTGTCTACCTGACTGTAAGGTCAGAAGTAATCTCTAAAGCAGCACTTTAAAGCCCTAAGACATTTGTTATATGAAATGTCAGCTCATTCTGCTCTGAAGCCCAAGGATGGCAGATTACATGAAATATGTGCTACAGAGGAAGTGGATACATATGGCCATTCACCCAAGAACATGACTAGGGTGGGGGTTAGGATAGGAGAGCCAAAGGATAGCTCACACCTAAATAAGAAGGGTAATTTGATGGACTTAATTGATAAATACAGAACCTTTCAGCCCAAAGAAGCAAAATACACATTCTTTTAAAATGCACATGGAACATTTTCAAAGATAGACCACATGATAGGACACAAAACAAGCTTCAGTGAACTTAAGAAAATTGAAATCATATCAAGCATTTTCTCAAACCTCAAAGGCTTGAAACTAGAAACCAACCTCAAGAAAAAAAAAAACTCAAAAACAGTCAAATTCATGGATACGGAATAACGTTATTAAACAATGAATGGGTTAACAATAAGATCAAGGGAGAAATCAAAAAGTTTCTGGAAACAAATGAAAATGAACACACAACAGCCCAAAACCTATGGGACACAGCAAAGGCAGTCCTGAGAAGGAAATTCATAGCAGTACAGGTGTACCTAAAAAAGATAGAAACAATTCAAATAAATTATCTAATGCTCCAGGTTGGAGAACTGGAGAAACAACAACAAACAAAGCACAGAGAGAATTGAAGGAAATAACCAAGATCAGAGCAGAATTAAATGACAGAGACTAAAAAACAATTCAAAGGATCAATGAATCTAAGAGCTGATTCTTTGAATAGATAAACAAATTGATAAACATTTAACCAGACTCATCAAGAAAAAAAGAGAGAAGACCCAAATAAATAAAACCAGAAACCAAAGAGGAGAAATTACAACCGATACAACAGAAAAACAAAGGACTGTAAGAAACTACTACCAACAACCATTTGCCCAGAAATTTGAAAACCTATGTGAAATGGACAAATTTCTAGAAATATATAATCTCCAAAGCTGAATAAAGAAGAAGCAGAAAGTCTGAACAGATTGAAAACAGCTGGTAAAATTAAAGCAGTAATCAAAAAACTCCCAGCACACAAAAGCACTAGACTGTACAGTTTCACAGGAGAATTTTACATAAATTTAAGGAAGAACTAACCTCAATTATTCTCAAAATATTACAAAAATCCAAGAAAATGGAAGACTCCAAAACTCTTTTTATGAGGCCAGTATCATCTTAATCTCAAAACCTGATAAAGACACAACCAAGAAAGAAAACTGCAGACCAATATTACTGATGAACATAGACGCTAAACTCCTCAACAAAATATTGGCAAACTGCATCCAGCAATACATTAAAAAGATCATCCACCATGATCAAGTGGGATTCATCCCAAGGATGCAAGGATGGCACAATATGCACAAATCAATAAATGTGATACATCACATAAACAAAAAGAAGGAAAAAAATCACATGATCATATCAATAGGTGCTGAAAAAACATTTGACAAAGTACAGCACCCATATTTATGATAAAAAAGTCAGCAAAGTGGGAATAAATGGAATATATCTCAGCATAATAAAGGCCATATATGAGAAACCTATTGCCAAAATTATACTCAACAGACAAAAACTAAAAGTTTTCCCACTAAGACAAGGAACAAGACAGGGGTATCTACTTTCACCACATCTATTTAACATAGTTCTGAAAGTTGTAGCCACAGTTATCATACAAGAAAAAGAAATAAAAGACATCCAAATTGTAAAGGAGGAAATAAAGCTGTCATTTTTTGCAGAATACATGACAGTGTATATAGAAAACGCTATAGGGAGAATGAAGTTGATGGAGGAGTGAGTGGAAGTCACACTGACCTTCTCCCAGGACTAATCTGGAATTACAGTTAAGTTGTGGAGAACTCACCTGGAACAAACAACTGAACAATAGCGAGAGAGGAGCCTTAGAACCTCAGAGACAGAAAAATCAGCTTTAGCACAATCTAACTGGTAAGGATTGTGGTAGAGTCTCAGGAAGGTGGGCGGGGTGGCAGCACCAGAAGAATATTGAAATAGCCAGTTGGATCCCCCTGAGAAGAATGAGGTCTAAATCATAAGTGGGGATCTCCAGCCTACAGCACCAGAGCCCAAAAAGTACACAGATAACAACCAGCTGCAAAAAGCGTCAGGGTTACTCTCTGCCAGAGGCAGGTGATTGGGACGCAAAGAGCCATTTAAAGTGCCAACGCATACATTATTATTTGCAGCTACTTACCCTGGGCACCGGCAAAGGTGAGGGCAGAGTGGGATAGAGAATCCTGAAGAGAGACTGGGGAAGAAGGCTTTGGGGAGAGAACTGAGAGAGTACCCGGCAAGATCCTGGTGCTGACTCATCCCCCAGATGGCAGTAGCCACGTTGCTCAAGCAGACCACTCCCCTGAGCAGCAACAGCAGGAGAGGACCCAATAACACCACCCCCAGAAGGGACTCTACCCCGCCTTGTGATGCCTAAGCTGGCCTGTTGAGTGCAGAGTGACTAGCTTAATAGCTGAAGGAGACAGCCACAGACAGTAGATTCCTGGAAGTCTCCAACAGACTGCTTATGGTCAGACAGAGTCAACATCTGACATCATCAGAGGCAGATCCAGAAAGAAAAAACAGTGGTCTCTTACCATAGAATTTCACATCACAAAGCCAGGAAATCAAGACAGATCAATTTAAGAAGATGAAGCAAAAAAGAGGAGTCTTGCAAATAATGGGAAGACATAGGAACACCCCCCTAGTCTAACGGAAAGGAGGAATCCCCACAAAAAGAACTAAATGAAATAGAGACAAGTAAACTTTATCAAATCAGATATTGAGTTCAAAACAACGGTTTTAAGGAAGCTCAATGAGCTCAGTGGCCCCAGAGAGAACTACAAAAAACTACATGGAAACTACAAGGAACTTATTGTAAATTATATCAGCATGAAAAAGGACATAGAAACTATCAATAAGAGACAAGACGAAATGAAGAATACAATTTCTGAATTGAAGAACACAGTAGAAGGAATCCAAAGCAGACTAGATGAAGCAGAGGAAAGACTCAGCAAGCTGGAAGATAAGGTAGAAAAAAGCTCCCAGAAAGAAAAAGAAAATGAGAAAATACTCAAAAAGAATGAAGAGTCATTGAAGGAAATGCAGGACAACCATAAACATAATAATATCCATATAATAGGGATACCAGAAGGAGAAAAGGACGAAGGGATAGAGAACTTTTTTGAAAAAGTCATGATGGAAAACTTGCTTAATTGAAGGAGAGAAAAAGTCACACAAGTCCAGGAAGCACAGAGGGTCCCCTTCAGGAGGAACCCAATGAGGCCCACTCCAATACACATCATCATTAAAATGGCACATATCATAGACAAATAGAGAATCCTAAAGCAAGCAAGGGAGAAACAGATAGTAACATAAAAGAGAGCCCCGATACAGCTAGCAGCTGACTTCTCTACGAAACCCTGCAAGCCAGAAGGGACTGGCAAGGAATATTCCAAGTAATGAAAAGCAAAGGCCTGCAACCAAGACTACTCTACCCAGCAAGACTCTCAATTAAAATGGAAGACGAAGTAAGGAGTTTCTCAAACAAACAAAAAAAAAATGGCTAAAAGAATACATCTCCACCATACGAGCACTGCAAGATATGCTAAAGGGACTGCATTAAAAAGATGAAGAAAAAGAGTCTATGAATACCCAGTTCCTCTCACAGTCACCAATACTTGATATTACCAATATTTTAATACTTATTAATCTGATTGTGGCAATGATGTGCTATTTTAATTGTGACTTTAGTATTTGTTGAAACTAAATCTGCTTTTTTTATATTTCTTGACTATTTCTATTTTTAAAAAAAGCTTTAAATGACTTTTAGGTATTCTTTTTCTATTTTGATTAAATGTTTTGTACAATTTTTTCCCTAAAACAAAAAAACAAAAAAACAAAAAACCCCAACTATTAAGCCTTCTTTAGATGTGTTGCAAGTACTTTCCTATTGTATTACTTGTCCTTTAACTTTTTTATAAATATATTACTAGATAGTCTTAAATGTTTAATATAGTCATATTGTCAATATTTTACTTTATAGCTTCTTGGTTTGACTATTTTACTTCAAGGTAAGAAAAATACTAGTTTGTATTTTCTCCTAAAACTCCTTAGATTTTACATATTGATTTTTAACTCACCTGAATATTTTTTGTACATTGTGTGAAATATGGCTCTACATTTGTTTTATTTCAAGTAATAGCGGTCCGTGCACCTTATTTGTGAAATAAGCTTTACTTTCCACATTGATTCAAAATAACAATTTAATTATATATTACATTGTTAAACAGATATATACATTTGTTTCTAGAATGCTCATTTTATTTCATTGATCTACTCGATTATTTCTGTGCAGGTGTCATGTTTTAATTGCTGAGACTTTATAATGAATTTAAGTTGTTTAGTATTTTATAATAGATTTTTACATTTAAAAAATAAGTAAATTCAATCTGCATTTAAGAAAAGAAGAAAGAGAGAAAGAAAGAAGGACTCCTACTTTTTGCAACAACATGGATGGAACTGGAGAATATTAGGCTAAGTGAGATAAGCCAGTCGGTGACAAATACCATATGACCTCACCTATAAGTGGACTGTATTCAACAAAATAATCCACAGGCATGGAAACATGGAGCAGACTGAAAGTGACCAGAGGGGATGGGGAAGGAGGACAATTGTTGAAAAAAAAAGGAGAAGGAACTAGAAAAATAACATTTATGAATGTTCCATGGACATGGACAGAAGAGTGGGAATTGACTGTGTGAGCCGGGGACTGGGTGAGATGGGTGGAGGAGGGCATAGGGGGAACAATTGGGACAACTGTAATGAATGAACATGATTTAAAAATAAAAAATGTTATAAAATAATAAAAATAAAAATAAAAAAAGAAAGAAAATCCTATAGACTCCACCAACAAAACTGCTAAACCTAATAAGTGAATTTGGGAAAACAGCAGGATACAGTCAATATTCAGAAATTGAACGCATTTTTATACACCAACAATGAAATATCACAAACAAAAATTAGGGGAAAAATCCCATTTGCTAAAGCAACAAGAAAAATAAAGTACCTAGGAATAAACTTAACCAAGGAGGTAAAAGACCTGTACTCAGAAAACTACACAACACTGAAGAAAGAAATTAAGGAAGATACAAATAAATGGAAGCATATACCATGTTCATGGATTGGAGGAATTAACATCATCAAAATGTCCATAGTACTGAAAGCAATTTATAGATTCAACACAATCCCTATTAAAATACCAATGACATACCTCAAAGACATAGAGAAAACATTTCAAAAGAGTATGTGGAACCACAAATGACCCCAAAAAGCCGCAGCAATTTTGAGAAAGAAGAACAAAGTAGGAGGGATCACAATACCTGACATCAAACTATATTACAAGTCCACTGTAGTCAAAATAGTCTGGTACTGGCATAAGAAGAGACACATAGAATAGTGGAACAGAATAGAGAGCCCAGAAATAAACCCATGTCTCTATGGTCAATTATTATTTGACAAAGGGGGCAGGAGCATAAAATGGAGTAAAAATAGCTTCTTCATCAAATGGTGTTAGGATATCTGGACAGCTACATCCAAAAAAATGAAACTTGAGCACCAACTTACACCATACACAAAAATAAACTCAAGATGGATAAAAGACTTCTAATTGATGACACCATAAAAGCCCTAGAGGAGAACATAGGCAGGAAATTCTCAGATATTCCACGCAGCAATATTTTCACCAATATGTCCCCTAGAGCAAGGGATATAAAAGAAAGAATAAATAAATGGGACTTCATCAAATTAAAAAGCTTCTGCATGGCTAAAGAAAACTTTAGCAAAATGAAAAGCTACTAACCATATGGGAAAATATATTTGCCAATGATACCTCAGACAAGGGTTTGATCTCCAAAATATATAAAGAACTCACACAACTCCACACCAGGAAGACAAACAATCCAATTAAAAAATAGGCAAAGGACCTGAGGAGACACTTCTCCAAGGAGGACATACTGAGGGCCCATTGACACATGAAAGTATGCTCAACATCACTAGCCATCAGAAAGATGAAAATTAAAGTCACAATGAGATACCACTTCACACCATTCAAAATGGCCATCATCAACAAATCAACAAACAAGTGCTAGCGAGGCTGTGGAGAAAAGGGAACCCTAGTACACTGTTGGTGGGAATGCAGACTCGTGCAGCCACTCTGGAAAACAGTATGGAATTGCCTCAGAAAACTAAAAATGGAACTTCCTTTTGACCCAACCATTCCACTGCTGGGATTATACCCTAAGAATCCTGAAACACCCAATCAAAAGAACCTATATACCCCAATGTTCATAGCAGCACAATTTACAATAGCCAAGTGTTGGAAGCAACCTAAGTGCCCATCAGTAAATGAGTGGATCAGCCCTGGCTGGTGTGGCTCAGTGGATTGAGCGTGGGCCTGCAAACCAAAGGATTGCCAATTTGATTCTCAGTCAGGGCACATGCCTGGGTTGCAGTCCAGGTCCCCATTTGGGGGTGCACAAAATACAACTACACATTTGTGTTTCTCTCCCTCCTTCTCCCTCTGTTCCCCTTTCTCTAAAAATAAATAAAATCTTAGAAAAAAGTAAATGAGTGGACCAAAAAACTATGGTCCATTTACACAATGAAATGCTATGCGGCAGAACGAAAGAAGCAACTCCTACCTTTCCCAACGCATGGATGTAACTGGAGAGCATTATGCTAAGTGAAATAAGCCAGGCAGTGAAAGGGAAATACCATATGATCTCACCTATAAGTGGAACCTAATCAACAAAACAAAGAAGCATGCAAAATATAACCAGAGACATGGAAATAAAGAACAAACTGACAGTGACCAGAGGGGATGGAGAGGGGTATAACGGGGTGCGGGGAGAAGAGGAAGGGTGTAGTCAAGGAAACTGTATAAAGGACCCAACAATGGAGGGAGGATTGAGTGTGGGACGTGGGTGGGCAGGGCAGGGGAGAGCAATGGGACAAAAGTGGGGACAACTGTAATTGAACAACAATAAAGTTTTGTTTATAAAGAGGGGTCATTTGAGTCATGGACAGTCAACCCTTCATTCGGGCCATAGACCTTGACCTCTTTGTCATTGGCAGGATTCTCCAGGGAGAGCTGAGGCGCCTGAAGTGGCAGCATGATGAGGCTGCTGAGGCACCTGGTTTGGCAGAAGGCACTGCAGAGGTAGCACAGGACCACCACAATGAGGAGCTTCTGGCTGAGGCCCGGATCCTTCGGCAGCACAAGAGCCGCCTGGAGACACGCATGCAGATCCTTGAAGACCACAACAAGCAGCTAGAGTCCCAGCTGCAGCGCTTAAGGGAACTGCTCCTGCAGGTGAGGCTGAAGCCAGGAGAAAAGCCAAAGCAGCCCCTACAGGGGCTAGAGGTAGGGAGCTGAGGAGTGTGACAATAGGGAGGAAAGAAAGCACCTTAGCCATGACTGTTAGATGACCTTCTGAAGTGAACTGACCTGATAATTGGGGAAGGTCAGGAAGGGAAGGTCTGGTATGTCACATTTCTTGGCCAATTCCCTTCCATCTAGCTTTCACTCCACCCTCGTGCATTACTCTCAAGTCACTGTAAGGCCTGGGGCAGAGGAAGGACTTCTGAGAGCTCACTTCCTTGTAACCTATTTGAGTATGGTATTGAAAGAACAAAACTCAAAAAGCCATTCATCCAAAATGTTGATTTTGCTGGAAAAAAGCAAGCTTGGACATGCTTGGCAAGAGAAAGATTTTTGCTATGCTGGGAGCTCTTGTTACTTTTTGTCTCCTTCTTCTTTGAGAGGTAGTATGTATGATACAGTGTAGCTCTGGAGTCAGACTGTCCTGTGTTTGAATGTGGCTCTGCCAATTATTGGCTGTAAAGTGTTAGGAAAGTTACTTAGCTTCACTAAGCTCTAGTACCTTCCCTCATCTATCAAACAGGGATATAATATGCAAAGTTCATGGAATTGTGGTAAACATAAAATGAAATAATGCATTTAAAGAATTTAGCACAATACAGGAATATAATAAACACTTGATAAATATTACCTATTATCATTACACATACAGGGTGATACCACACCCTTCCTCTTCCCCAGATCCTCCAAGGGATGACCTCTAGATGCCTGGAGGTCTCTCACATATGATATGTTATGAACTGAAGATCAGATGTGCAACTCTACACTTCTACAGAGAATTGGGTTTTAAACAGCTTAATTGTAGCTGAAATGACAGCAAGAGACCTTTAGGTGCAATACCATTCTTATAAGAACTGGGAGACTTTGACACATGTTGAAGAAGGAATGTAACTGATAATCGAATATTCTAAGACATTTCCCCAAACAGGAGGCCACTGTTTGGGCACTACCAAAGTTTCTTGAAGTCCAAGGGCAAAGAGAAGGGCATGAGGTCTCTAAAGCCCCTTCTAAGTTCAGGAGTATGTCAAATAAGGTCAGGAAGGCAAAGTCATTTATGTCATGCATTACCTCTTGTTAGCCACCCACCGAATCAGATGGCAATGGCTCTGCAGGCTCGTCCCTAGCTTCCTCTCCACAGCAGTCAGAAGGCAGTCACCCCCAGGAGAAGGGACAGACCACTCCAGACACTGAGGCTGCAGGTGAGTTCCCGCAGCCCTTTCCAACCCCTTACTCCATGCTTTGTCCTGCCCCAGAGCTCCTGCCTAAGGTTCTGCTAGGGCTGGGTCTGGTTTCTCCTCATGACTTTGAGCTTAGCATCAGAAATGATTGCCTTACTGATGGATTCATTCGTTTATTCTACACATGTATATTGAGCACCTCCCATGTACTATACATTGTGCCCAGAAGACAAAAATGCTGTGGGTTTACCCATCAGTTGGTGGTGCCCTACCTCAGCCCCTTGGCCTCATTAGGGAATCTCTAGTTCCCTTTAAAAATTTCTATTTTTCAACACAGATGATGTTGGATCAAAGAGTCAAGATGTCAGCCTGTGCTTGGAGGACATCATGAAGAAACTTCGTCATGCCTTCCCCAGTGTGCAAAGCTCTGATGTGACTGCCAACACCTTGCTGGCCTCTTGATGGAGCCAGAACCCCATCCTATAGACCATAGTCCTCTCCCAGGTCTGTCAAAGCCTTCTCTCAACCTTCACCCAAACTTTCCAGTGCCCACTGGCCCCACATTTCTCAGCCAGTGTTATCTGGGCTCTGGGTAGCAGCAGGGATCTGGTGGTATGTGAGGTGGGTGTGTGAGGGCCAAGGAGGGGAGAGGCATGATTCCTCTGACTCTAAAAATGTGCCCTTGAATCCTCAAGTTTGAGACTTGTTCCTTAAGTACACTTCTGTTGTAGTCCAGGATACCACTTGGAAGTCATTCAGATGGGGAGCAAAGAAGCTGCCTTGCAGAGCAAAGCAGTGCTTGCTGTTGCCTTTCCCTCTCCATGGAATTATGGAGATTGGGAAGCCTATTGACCCCCAGGTTTCAGCATTATGAATCCACAGGGGTTAGCTCTACTCTCTAGCCCAACTCAGGGAGGTAAAAGGGCATCCCTGAGACACCTCCTCTCCATCAAAAATCTGGGCAGCATGTGTCATATTACTTCAGCTCAAAGGCATATCTCTAGCCATCCTGATGCTACCTAGCTGTTGTTTTCTCCTCAAATATCTTCAGTTCCTCTGCCTCAGTCCCTGGCAGACCTTCCTCAAGGGGGGAAATGTTCATTCTGGTTCCTATTTCTACCTTTCATGTGGAAAAATTAAAGAATTACTTACGGGCTTAGGTTTTTGTTTTACCCCTGAGCCTCCTCTATCTTGAGGGCCTCAGCATCCTGAGAGACCAGCAGCTGAGTGGCTCTGAAAATCCAACTTAAGCAACCCTGGGCTCTTCTGAGTTTGCCCTCACAGCCCTTGGGGAGAAGCAGTAGCTTACTCAGCAAAGGGGACTTGCTCTCCTTGGGTGAGAAAGGAGCATCCACATGCTAGTCTGGAGGAATGTGACTGTCCAACACCCTTGCTTCTTTTAAACTGAATTGGATGAGGTACCTGATTTTCCCCAGCTAATCCTAAGGCAGATGCATTAGGCCACCATGAATAGCGGCCTGTTTATAAGATCCACTCTCCACTTTCCACACAGGCAAGAGCATGGCCTTCCTTTGCAGAAAACTATTCTTTATAACTCTGGAAGGTGAACCCAAACCTCAGACTCAACTAGTTCTTCCTAGACAACATATATCATAATCCGTTTATCTGGAAATTGTTCAGGGTAGATAGTGGGGAGAGGGGGAGTGAGCCTGGTAACTTTGAACCTAGTCAGAGCCTACATAAGCAGCTTTCTTTCAAAAGGAAGCTGCATAACCTAGAGCCCTGAAACTGACTTCATTTGCTTAAGTTTATATACATACATATTTATCCTACATACCTACTGTACATCAGTATACCCCTGGCCTCATTCACACATTAAATTCTAATACCTCTTGAAGTATTAATGTTCTGCCTTGCTCTTTGTAAGCCCAAGCCTCTGGTTAAACAGCTAGATACATTCTGCCTGCTCCCCTATGATGTCTCTCCATTCATGTTTGGAGTGTGCTGTCTTCAAGACCAAAGCAACAGAAGCCTATGGTCACAGAAGAATCTAACAGAATCACTCTTTTCTCTTTACTCACTCCAAATCTTGTTCCCTTGAGACCTGGGCATTGGATGAATTTTCCCAGGGTCCTCTAAACAATGGTTCAGGTACCAAAATAGAGAAAATCCAAACTTTACCTACGCCATACAGAAAAGAAGTAACAAATAGGCTTTTATTAACCTTTGTCAGGCTAAGACACAGAGTACATCTTCTAGTCTATTCCAGTTCTTAAGTCTGCCTCAGGGCCTTAAAGAAAGCTGTGGCTGCCACTGAAGTCAGGAGGCTGTGAGATGCTTGGGGTGCTGTGCTATAATCAAGCAGTGGGCCAGTGGGTAAAACTCCTGGGAAGCTAGATTTATCTGCTGTACGGGAGGGAGGGCAGCAGCTTGTGTCCAAAAACCTAGCTTTACCTCCTTCTAGAATCACCAGGAGATATTAAGACAGAGGCCCACAGTGTCAGACCTCATCACAGTATCTGCCTTATTGCTCATAAGGTCTTTGGGCAGAAAGACTTGGGTATCTGGATGTATGATGAGCAGGTCATAGGTAGGCATCAAGCACAGAGCCTGGGCATCTGTCCATGAGTGGTGGGAAGCTGTATTTGTAGGGGCCTGGATTGTGGGTAGGAATGGGATAGAAGAAATTTGCTATAAAACAGAGAGCTCAGGGTCTCTGAGGCTTATGGTTGCCTAAGCCTTAGAAGTGCAAATGTTATGAAACAATCTTTTACCAGGGAAGTCCTGGAAAATCCTTTATGTAACCCCCACTTCACTTGAGATGTATGGCTGCTGAGGGTCTGTGGTCACCGCAATGGGCCAGGCATGATAGGGAATATGTAGATCTTGTTACGTAGGATTTGTGTTGTTATGTGGACTGAAGCAGCAGGTCAAGAGTTGAATTGTCACTAATGGGGTCACTGACGCTTTGTGTTCCTGTGTTTAATACCTGAGATGAGTACAGGCATACCTTGTTTTATTGCACTTTGCATTGCTGTACTTCATAGATGTTGCTTTTTTTTTTTTTACAAGTTGAAGGCAAGACCCTCCATCAGCAAAAAGATTACAACTTGCTTTATTCTGAGACTTATTTATTGTGATAGTCTGGAACTGAACCCGCAATATCTCCAAGGTATGCCTCTTTATTGCTCAAGGCTCTGGTGATGATCACTGCCTTATGTATGGACACTATGCCCACAGTGAGGTAAATGGATCCTTGGGCAATAAATCCAAATTAGGGTGGGATTTACCGAGATATGCTCTATGTTATTAGGCATCTGTCATGTATGTGTCTCCTAGAGGAATTTTATGTCATGCTGTGTAGTTTATATCCTTGTACTGAAAGGGTGGTGAAGGGAGATACTGGGTAGGCAGCCAGAGGAAAATTTCTGACTTGCAGGGCTAGCATCCATGATAATGAATGTGAGTGTTTGCTGGGGTTGTTGTCAAATAGTATCATTGAACAGTTAGGACTGATAAGCGATTTATTTTCAACAGAATCTGATAGAGGACAAGAAGCCATTTTGAGGGTGCCTCTGCTTATACCTAGAGCAGAGTGGAGTCATGCTGACTAGGAAATTGTTAGGAAAGTCTGACTGGTTGGATAACATTGGCTGTTTGTTGTTTGGTCCCCTAGGGAGGGTCCTACCCAGAAGGACATGTGCCCTTCCCTCCAGAATGGAAATGCTGAAATCAAGGCTCTTGAGTACCCATTTCTGTCAGGGCCCAAAGTTTGGAAATATTTTTCTTGCAGAAAAAACTTGTTTGAGTTTCTCTGCTCCAGGAACTGGGCTGGTAGATCACAGTAATGAGAAACCCTGAGACCAGACAGAGGCCAATTCTGGGAGATGGTTTGCCTCCAGATTCATTTTAATGAATGTTGTGCTGCCTGAGGTGTGTGTTTGGGTCCTGAGCTCAATATCCAGCTTCAGGCTAGAGTGTTCCTCCAACACACATTCTCAGTGGTAGACTCGTGGCTTCTGAAACCATTTCAGGCCAAGAATCTCATCAAAGTTTTTTTGACATAGGTGACAGATAATCAAGAAAGTAGCTGCCTTAAATGGCAAATAGTCCTGGGCCCTTGCCCTAGGGCTGTGGAGACTTAGCTGCTCAGCAGGGCACCTCTATTTCTAGGCCTCCCTGCCAATATCTGGCCCTGGGAACAAAGGAATACTTCTGTTCCTTCTTACTTTTTTAACACCCACAGCTGTGGGAGAGGGAAAGGCTCAAGGCCAGGGCTTAGCTCCCAGCCTCCATCTCCTCTCATAGCTGATGCATTTGTGGAAGGCGGGGGTGATCTGCTGAATGTCCTTGCTGTCCCCAGGGCAGTATTGAGGCCAGACTATGCTGCTTGCTGGCTGAAAGAACTGGTCATGAGGATGAGAGTTAAGTAAGGGATTTGAGGGAAGTGGCAAGGGTGGCACATAAATCTAGGAAAGTTTGGGATGAAGGGGTAGGACTGGAAACAAACTGGTTAACTTTGATTGCCACTTACTGTGGTGCTTTTCTCCTTTCCCTTGAATTCTGCTTTGAAAAAAATAAATTTGTATTTGTTTACTTTGGTTCCTCTGGTTATATATATTGTTTGACTGTTATTCCACATCCTTTCTTTGTTTGCGGGAAGAAAGGGTGGTCCAAGAAGCCACAGGACTACTGCAAAACGTAGGCTACCAGATGAGTCCAGCACCTACTGGACCAAAAGACACCCCCACTAGTTGCATCCACCACAATTACTTGGTTGCTTCTCAAGGCCCTATGAATTACCCCCTCAAAGAATGAGCACTTATGGCAATGGTTCTTCAATACCATCCTCATCAATCTAAGGAATTTTTTTTACTGCCCGAAACAATATGCAAAAAAGAACAATGCAGTAAGTTTCCATAAAGTTACCTTTATTCAATTTAAAGATCAAAGTTCTATCCCTTAGAAAACATATACACACACGCGCGCACACACATATGTGTGTGTGCATGTGTGTGTGTATAGTCTATCCAGAAAGTATACATTCATGTAATATGAAAAACAGAGACATTTATTGAATAAGATCTAAAAAACATTGTACGTAGGACAATGATACCTCTGTCCCCTTCAAAGTAGGGTTAGGGTTAGGGTTAGCACTTCTAAGTGTGAGGACCTTGGGACCTCACACTGCTCTCCCAATCACCATCAGCTGCCCTATCATATATTCCTGAATTTCACCAATGGTGATTTTCAAAGGTGATTTTAGTTTTAGGAAAAGCCAGAAGTCACAGGGCACCGAATCTGGGCTGTTGGGGGAGTGAGTCACCTGGGTGATTTGATGTTTCACCAAAACACTCTGCACGAGACGTGAAGTATGGGCGGGTGCATTGTTGTGATGAAGCTGCCAATCACCAGTTTCCCATACCTGTCACCTCCTGAATTATTCAAATAGTTTCTGTGGAAGAATGTTCAAGCTTCATGCAAAATTTGATGCAGATTAGTTCTCTACTTGCTCAATCATTTTGAATGCTACAGCACACAGTACACATGCTCATTCAATGGCATCCACCATGCCCCCTGTTTATACAGCGGAGTCATCATTGTTCATGCATGCATATTTCATTCTACTCTCCTTGGCTGCCAGGTTACACTGATGTTGTACAAACTATTCTTGTTATGTTAATAATGGCTGGACTTTTTCCGGACAGACCTCATATATCCCTGTAAATTGGTAGTGATAGTTCTTTTACAAATGCCATTTTCCAGCAAATTAAAAGTCTTGTCAGCCTA